GGTCAGTGCCCTTGTTAGTCCAGCAGCCCACCCACAAAACACAATCAGTAATACAGCCCACCCACAATAACTGGCTACTACACCTGGGTAGAGTAGAACTTTGTCCGTGTCCAGGTGCCTCACCCTGGCTGCGTGGGTGACTGGTCAGCGTACTGGGTGGGTTGCTGAGTGTACAGAGACCAGCGGTACTCTGTCCTGGTGCCAGCACTACCATGGGAGCAGTCTGGTTGGAGCCTGGTTGCTGGAGAAGAAGGCAGACTGTCTCCCCTTTGCCTAAACAGTCCTGCTGCTGGGTGACAGGACCGACTGTCCCTACCCCCGGTGGTGCATGTGCAGCGACTACTGTCCCATCTGCACTGTTGTGGAGATTACTGTCTCCCCTTGGTGGGCTAAGCTGCCGCTGGGGAGAGTGTGTAACAAGCTCCTCTCCCATACATACTTTCAGCCGCTGGGGAGAGGGGATAACAAGCTCCTCTCCCTGACACACTCTCTGCTGTTGAAGGGGGAGACCGACTGTCTCCCCTTTCAATAATTTGTCCTGTTGCTGGGGAGAGGTGATAACTGGTTCCTCTCCCTGGAACACTCTCTGCTGTTGGAGAGGGGGACCAACTGTCTCCCCTTTTAATATATTGTCCTGCTGCTGGGGAGCGAGACCGACTGTCTCCGCTTCCTGCAGGACACACTGCCGCTGGGGAGGAAGGACGGCACCTTCAGCTCCCTGGGGTACACACTGCCGCTGGGGAGGAAGGACGACACCTTCAGCTCCCTGGGATACACACTGCCGCTGGGGAGGAAGGACTGCACCTTCTGCTCCCTGGGACACACACTGCCGCTGGGGAGGAAGGACGGCACCTTCTGCTCCCTGGGGTACACACTGCCGCTGGGGAGGAAGGACGACACCTTCTGCTCCCTGGGGTACACACTGCCGCTGGGGAGGAAGGACGGCACCTTCTGCTCCCTGGGACACACACTGCCGCTGGGGAGGAAGGACGGCACCTTCTGCTCCCTGGGGTACACACTGCCGCTGGGGAGGAAGGACGACACCTTCTGCTCCCTGGGACACACCTATGAGTCCCCGTAACGCACTCTGCCTCCGGATAGGGCGGCTGATACCTTTGGCTGGATCTGCCATGAACTCCAGGTACTCGACTACCTGGCTCCTTACAAACTGCACGTATTTCTCTGGGGGGTTGGGTCCAAAGAAAGCCAGCCGCATAGCAAACTCTCTGTCATACTGCTCCTGAGTGTAGCTAGGTGCCATGCTTGCGCTGCTGAATTTGGTTCTTTCGTCGATAGGGTCGCTGTACGTGTACTGGCGTTGCCCTCACTTTGTAATCCAAGGAATGGTGTTGCCCTGTAGCTGTCTTTCTGGTTGTAGGAACGATCCCACCGCTGCCACCAATTGTAACGGACCGTTTCTCTCACAAGGGGATAAAATCGGTTTAGGCGATAATCCCCTTTCCCATAGACCAGCAGCTATTGCAATCACCAACTTCCCGAACTCCAAACTGTACGAATCCCCAACTCACGAACAAGAAATACACGAACTCTGGAAGCAGCCGAACAGGAAAAGCAATACGAACGGCTTACACTCCTGGCAGTCAGCACACAATCCAATTCCCCCAATAACGAGACGACACTTCGTTTTGAGGGTTAAGCAGAATCTGAGGATTTATTCACACAGCCTCCTTTTAAGACATTCTCCCATGCAAGGGAGGGATCCACAACAATTAGTACCCCAGCCAATAATGTACCAGTTACCTCCCACACATCTCCTCCCCTTAGTGTGACACATAATCCCATTAGTACAGACACAAATTCCCTGGGATACTGGATGTACCCCTAAACATAGGAATACCCCTTTAAATGTTACATCCCCTGGTAACCCTGATCTGGGTGAGACACATATCCAAAAATCACCCAGATCCGACCAGGGGTTCAGGAATTAGAAAGGGTTAAAGTTTTGACCGACTGCATGGCAAAAGTATCCGAAAATAGTTCCATGTATTTTGGCCCTGCAGTCGGTCACAGAAAAGGGAATCAAACACACGAATGGCCTGTGTTACAGAGCTTGGGGAGGATTCGTATGAATCCCCCTGTTCGTGGGATCCTTTCTACCGAACGGCGGGCCGTTCGGTAGTTTCTGCACGAATTGCTGGAAGTCTGGAGGTCTCAGCGGTGTTTGCTTAGTCAAGTGTCCGATTTTAGTTCCAGACACTCGACGGCAAAACACCGCTGTTCGAGAGTTTAAGATGGCCGCCGCCACGTGTTCGTTTCCCGAATGGCGGCCACCCAGAGGACACAACACACATTACACATATTGCCAATTACCCGTTTGCAACATTGTTGCAAACGGTAATTGGAGGCACACTTACTCCCGGGTGGTCTGGTTGTTCGGTAGTTTCACCCAATATAATGAATGAAGTGATTCTACCGAACAATCAGGGGAATGCTGCATTCACATCACACTTTATACTGAACACATAATATTAAATACAGCCTGAATGCAATTTGCTACATAGTCTTAAAAAGGCATTATTCCTAACAGGCAGAATATGTTCACGGATGGCCCTTAAAGGGCCAGTAGCAGCAATATAAGAATGTCACATGCCCAAATATTGCATACAAAAGTACGAATTCACAAGGGGGCCATAGTCAGATGGCAGGAGGCTGGCAACCAGGCTTCTCCAGTGCATAGTGGCGAGGTTGGTTTCGCCACAATCCACAAAGATAGAAAACCCAAGTTTGTCCAGGAGTTATAGACCCATCTCTCTGCTCAAAGCAGATTTGAAATTGTTTGCCAAGATTTTAGCCATGAGGCTGCGACAAGTAGTCCCTTGCCTAGTTGTTATAGAACAATTAGGTTTTGTTCCTGGTAGGGAAGCAATGGATAACATGACCAGGGTCATCAAGAATGAACGCCAAGAAGGCATTTTATTAGGGGGATTGGGAATATATAATGGCAACATTAGAAAATATGAGGATCGGTATGCAATTGAGAACTCTTCCAGAATTTCCCTAAACACCACCACCACAGTCTGAATCAGGGTAAATGGGGCCCTGGCTCAGCCAGTCACCATCCAAAATAATACAAGGCAGGGGTGCCCATTATCCCCACTGCTATTTGTGCTCTTCTGTCTTTCCTTGAAGCTGCCAACATGGGGAATTACAGGATTCGAAGGGAGATGGAGATCACACAAGTATGTCTCAGACTGTATAACAGGAGTTTATGCCTGTTAGTAAGAAGATTAGGAGGGGAGTGGACCAGTAAGTGCTAGGGGAGAGTCCTTAGAAAGCGTAGAGCTAGTGCATCATTAGATGCATTTATGCAAAGCTCAGGATGCTGTCTGCACAGTATGCCCTTGGTTGGTCATGCTGCATGATTGGCAGACAGCCTGACATGCATTCACACCAGGCTGTCAATCTAATACCCTGTGCAGACACGCCCCCTTTTTGGGCATGTTTGTCCCTTTGGCCAGTTCTGGTTACATGATTCATATCAGCGGCCAACCCTTTTGCCCCGCCCACTGAAATCCTGCTTCACTGGACACTGCTGTTAGGGGGTATAGAGGTTTTCTGGATACATAAACTCAGAACACTTCAGCCCCTTGGACTGAATGTGGATTTTGATTTAGTTTGTTTTTTAGTAGACTTTTTCATTTTTTTATTTTTTTTATTTTTATTTTTTTTTCTATGTATTATTACCATTTATATTTTTTCCTTATTCTAATTATTAACATTTTTCTTATTACAGTTTATTTTTTTTACTCCTTTTCATGTTCAGACTTGTCATTTAAAAAAAAAAAGTAAATTTTTTAATATTTCTTTTTTATTTCTTATTTTTATTTTTATGGTTTTTCCACATTTTTTATTTCTTAAATTTTTTGAAGTTATTGTTACTTCACATATGGTGTATCCAGATGCCCTCCCAGACGTCCGACTGAGTTATGCATGGTGTCTAAATGTGGTATCATTGAACACATTTGGTGGGGTAATGTAATAGGTGATTTATTGTACATACATTCTTTATGTTTCTTTTATTCTTATATTGCACTAAGTGCATTGATCAATATGTACAAATATACTGTCACTATAGCAAAATGATTTTGAACCGATATTGGGAGGTTCTCTGATTGTCATTTCTTTGTTCGTACACATATTTTCCCCTAATAACCTCTTCCAGGATATCGGGGAATGCTGGAACGCATTCATGCATTCCAGACTTGATGATGTTATGGACTATGCCGGAGAGAGACATTGAACTTCCGGGTGAGTGGAACACAACAGCGTTCCAATGAAGAAAATTTCCGGATCTCCATACATGGTATATGACCATCAGGAGGATTACGAACAGATGAAGATCGCGGAAATGATTGACCGGTGTTCTATCAGTCTGGTATACTCCGTCAGATTGCTATACCCACGTCACTTCCGGGGAGGGGAATCAGCTGTCTCCTGTGCTGCACATGCGTGCTAGCACTCCTGCTACTCCTCCACAGCAAGGTCCTGGAAGGTAAGTAAAACTAGTTTTACCCTTTCATTATAGTTAGTGCATTCACTAAGCTTAGGCACACGGGACATTTAGGGTTAAGTGAGGGTACAAATTAGGGTTAGGTAAGTGATTCTAACCTCTCTCACACTCTATTCTTACCCTAACCCTTGGGGTAAGGGTTAAAATAAAGTGTGAGAAATCACTATTTAGTGATATTCCCCTAATGTGAAATATCACTAAATAGGAACAAGTCCCTAATCCTAACCCTAATTTGAACCCTAACATTAACCCTAAATGTCCCATGTCCTAAGCTTAGTGAATGCACTAACTATAATGAAAGTGTAAAACTAGTTTTACTTACCTTCCAGGACCTTGCTGTGGAGGAGTAGCAGGAGTGCTAGCACGCATGTGCAGCACAGGAGACAGCTGATTCCCCTCCCCGGAAGTGACGTGGGTATAGCAATCTGACGGGGTATACCAAACTGATAGAACACCGGCTGGAGGAGGTGGGCAATTTAAAAGAAGTTTGCTGACATGTACAGACTATAGCACTTTATTCACGCACACACAAGCACTTTATCAATATTCCTGAGGAAGTCTAGTGGATCTAGACGAAACGCGTCAAGTTGAGCTTGTTATTTTATTATTTGCTTGTTTTATTTTATTTTATTTTAGTTAATTTGTTTTTATGTTTTGTTCCTGGTTCCTGTTACTCCTCCACATATCTGCAGAGCTGTAACCTGGACTGGGCACCATGTGTATTCATTGATGGGCATTTATTTGCTTTGTATCCTGTAAGTGTGACCATTCAAGTGTATTTTCTATTTTTATACATAATGCACTATGGTTTCTTCACTTTTTCTCTCCACATGAATGACTGAATTGCTGAATTACATACTGGATCTGGTGGAAGCAACAGTTGTTTCTGATGAGCCTGAATTTCCAGTAACACTGTGAGTGCAATCTTTAGCTCTAGGAGTTACTTATATGTATATTATTACCCTATGAGTGTTTACTCCATTGTATACTTTTAGGTATATTTTGTTTTCCAATTTTATACAAGGATTGGGAGGAATCCTTTAATAATACCAAGAGAAAAGGGGTAAATCCTTTTTTATTCACTTTATATTCCTGCACCTGGGTGGTCAATACAATTACGTGTTTATATCTAACATACAGCAATTTATAATAACACAATGACATATTTATAAGGGGGTGGGGAAGACAATATCTCTCTCCTCCTCTGCAAATATATAAGAATATGCAAGCCTTGCTATTCAGGTACTGCATATATTTATTGCTACCAAGAGGCTCCATAGCCAAATCCACCTAGTTAGTAACAAGCATCCGCAGGACAGGAGAGCACACAAAACAATTACCAATAAACATACACATTATACACACCCTTCACCTATAATGGGAACAGGGTGACTTAGACTTAGGAGTAGTCCACGGTCCTACATAAAGTTTCCATATGCAACTTAAGGTGATGGTGACTACCATCACATAACTCCCACACACACAGAAAAAACTAACCAAGTACCAGACCTCTAATAAGTCTGTGCTTGCGTTAGTGTGGCACCCCACCCAAAATGTCTAGCTAACCTGGTAGAATCCTAAAGCTATTGTCTCACTGGGGAGGGAGTCTGATAATCTCAGCTCCTGGTAAAACAAATCTGCAGCTGGGGAGGGAGACCGACACGCAACGCTCCTGATAAAACCAGCTACCGCTCCTGGTAGCTCAAACTGCAGCTGAGGATGGGTAATGACCGTCTCCGCCCCCGGTATCTCCGACCGCCGCTGGAGAGGGGAACTGACCTTCTCCACTCTTCGTAACTCTGGGTACCCTGACTGTCTCTGCTTCTGGTAGCTCGGACAGTCGCTGGGAAGGGGAACTGACCATCATCGTTCTTGGTATCTCTGGCTGCCACTTGGGGTCATCTACTTGATAACAGTGTGATAAGGATCAAAGCTTTCAGTTGCATTTTACAACCCCAATCTAAAACAAAAGCTTACATCCCTCCAGCAGTTCTCCTGCCAACCAATTTTCCATACATGTTATCAGAAGATCAGAGATCAGGAGAACTGGAGTAATTAACATCTAAGTGTAAACATGGAAGTATGTGTTTTCCCAAGCCATCCTGTCTCTAAAAGAAGTCAAGGCCTGCTCCCAACCTACCCAAAAGAAACAACCCTAAATGGTCAATTCTTACACAACATTATAGTATAGCTGGGGGTAAGAGATCAAAAAAGAGGACATGTGTAAAGATGGAACTCTCTGGGAAAAGAGGGCGAGATGAACCACGTTTTGAGAGGTGAAAGGCATTCTGGGACTTGTAGTTAATGACTGCAATAATCAGTCTTTGAAAAAACAACAGTCAAAGAGGTTGGGCTCCTCTCTTTCTCTTTTGTCTCTTTTAGGGAGGACAGCGCAGCAAGCAGTGGTGCCATGGTGAACTGAGAGAGACTGTCCCAGACTACCAAAGATGAAGGCGCAAGAGGAAATCTTAATTTAAATGTCTAAGTATTGCCCTTTTACTATGTATCTTTTGATTATGTACTGGATATGGTTATAATGTGTAATGTGTATATCCTTCTAAAATCTGTAACAGTATCCTAAATCAATATTAACAATACATTTTATAATACACTTGTGTTTGTGTCTTATTTGTCACTCATTCCATGAGGGTCATAATTTATTACATCGGTAACTAACGCTGCCACTGGGGAGGGAGACTGATGTTTCTGCTCCCTGTAAGTCACTCTGCTGCTGGGAGGGAGACCGCCTTTCTCTGATCTCTGTGACTTGCCCTACTACTGGGAAGAAAGGTTGATAACTCGCCCTGATGCTCGTGAGGGAGAACGATGATCTCCTCTCCAATGGTTGTAAAGTCCAGGAAATCACCCGTTTTTGAGGCACAAGGCTGCTTACAGTGGAACAGACATATGTAGTCCTTCTCGAGCTCCCACTCCAAGGTGGCCAGAAAGGTCAGATCTGGCTCCAGCTCCGTGATCTCTGAGAGGTTCAATGGATCTTACCACTTATCCCAGATGCTCCAGAAGCGAGAGCCCAGAGGGCTCCCAAATTCTATGTCCTCAAAAGACTCCATCAGAAGACCAGGGTAGTCCTCCCCTTTAATCCAAACACCATCGACCAGGTGCGGGCATAACTAAGACTTGTCCAGTCACACTTTCATCATGACAAGCACCTAGAGTTCCCCTACCCTTTCATCCAGGGGCTGCACTCCCAGGAACGTTATCCACAAGTTTTTATCAACTGCGCTGTTCTGTAGTCTGGAGGAGCTCCAGAAGGGTTGAATCTCCTCGAGGATCTCCTTCAATAGGTCAGTTCAGATCACCACCCTCCATTCCAGTTCTTTCCCTGCTGGGAGAGGGTCATTCTTCCAGCACAGAACCTCCTGTCGCTGCTGCTGGAGTTTTAAATCGAAGCAGGATCTGCATGAGGACAGGCTCCATTCATATCAATGACTTCCAGAAGGCAGGCATCCCCGTAGATGTCTGTGGAGGTTTACCCAGTCACTAGGAAGCTATCCCACTGCTGCCACCAAATGTGATGGAGCTCCTGTACTCTGACTGAGTACCTGCGCCCAGTTTGCTTCCTATTTGCTTGCCAGGAGCCTGGAGTGCTTCAACCCCAGTCGCCAAGGTTTGACTGGGTTCTCTCTGGAGGATCGTCCTGCTGGAAAAAGCTTGGTCTCTATGATGTAGTGCAGGTTAGTTTAATCTTTAAAAAAAAAAAAGGAGGAGGCAGACCAGCACAGTAAGGATTACTCTGAACATAAAGATTGTTTTATAAAAATAAAAAAAATCAGAAAAACATTTTTTTTTTGTTGTAGTAACCCTTTAACAATATTTCCCAGGAGGGACAGGACATCTTCTTGTCTTCAGGGGTTCAACCGTACTGAAGCAGGCTAACCTCAAAGTTGGATATCTGGCACCTCTGCTTACCAGCTTCATTACTCCTTGTGCTGCAGTTATTAGGAAGGCATAGCCAAGCAGCCTCTGATAGGTTGAGAAATTCAGGTGACACTGTCATACTATTACTGAGCACCCATTGAGTGAAGTTGTTGGGTTACTTGGATTAAACAAATAAAGACAATTCTATTGCAATGTGGCTGTTGATGACAGACTGCCAGAATGCTGTCTGTATTGACCCTATATATATTTGTACAGACTACATGATATCCTATCTTAAATGCATATTTTCTAAAGTAAACAATTTTAGTTTTTCTAGTGTTGCTTTATAACTAGCATTTTCCACTCCCCCTATTAACTTTGCACTTTTTTAAATAAGACTGGTGCCAAAAATTGCATTACATATTTAATATTGGGTCTTAACGTGGATTTATAAAGAGGCATAAAACTAGTTTTGACATATAAATTTATTCCCTTTTTTATATTTATTCTCATTAACAGTTATGTAACGTTGTTTGTGGGTTCCTCATCACCAAAATCCATAACTTTGCACTATTCTACATCGCATCTCACCTTACACTTGGCTGCTTTTCACCTCAACCCCCTTTGAGTGTCTCTCCTTCTTCCCCTTTCCTTCTGTGTTTATTTTTCACATCCCCCTCTGTGTATCTCTTCCCCCAGCCCTTCTGTGTGCCGGTTTGATCCCCCAGCCCTTCTGTGTACTTCTTTGTCCCCCCAGCACCTTTTTGTGTCTTTTTCTTCCCCCAAACCCTTTGTGCATCTGTTTCTCTCCAACCCCTTTGTGTGTTGGTTTCTCCCCCAACCCCTCTGTGTCTCTCTTTCCTCTACCCCAGCCCATTGGTGTGTCTCTTTGTCCCCCCCTCCTGTGCCCTTCTTTTTCCACCTCCCCTTTTGTGCCCTTCCTTGCCCCTTCCTATGCCCTTCTTTGTCGCTCCTCCTGTGCCCTCTTTAGCCCCTTCTCCTGTCCCTTTTTTGTCCCCCCTCCTGTGCCCATGTTAGATTCCTTCCCCGTGCCTGCTCAGGCTCACCTAAGGCAGAAGCTCTGTGGCGAAGGACCCTCTGTAGCAAGTGCGACAGGCAAAAGTTCTGTGCTCTCTTCAAAAGAGGCTCCTCTACCACGGTCTGCTAGCTCAGTCACGCTACACTCTGTGCAGCAAGATCCTCTCTTTCCGGTCACAAGGAGTTCAGCACCCTGGGCAGCCCCCTGATGACTGGCACCAGGCGGACCGCCCCCCACGTAGTACGCCACTGGATGTATCTAAGTAATTTTAAAGAGAAGTAATGTCCTGCTTAGAGTGGATTACGTATTTTTTTTGTCATCTGCAAACACTGAAACATGGATTTGAATTTTCCAGATCATTACTAAATGGATTTAAGCTTATTTATTATAAGATTAATAATTATGTAGTGTATATAAGAGGGTAAAAGACAATTATATTATTTTTCATAATATTTCACCTTTGTATATTCTCACTGTTTCTGCCTCTCTCTGCTTCCATCTCATTCTTTATATGCACACACAAATATACAGAAAATAAGTGTGTTTCCCCAAAATATCACTAGAGGGTAGTACAAGAAAGCAAGTTACTTTTACACAAGCTGAGAAAAGCACAACTACAGCACTAAATGGATTTATTGTAGGGAGGACAATATTTGCCTTATATTAAAACATAAAAAAGGTATGATAAATTAGTATGTCTTCATCTTTTTAGCAAGATATGCATGGCAGTTAAGATTGGTTCAACCAAATAATTTTTGTAAAAATGAAATTTTGTTGGGGATGTCCGACACTCGTTCACGTGACTTTATGGTTTAGTCGGAAGTAGTCAATGGGGGCATTCAAACAAAAAAGGTCAATAAAAATGAACTGCAAAATATATACATAATATTAATTTTTTTATATATATATTTTAGTGCCATTTTCCCAAACAATTGGTTCAAAGATCAAGTGAGAAAAAAGTAGCCAATAGAGGGGAAAAGAGTAGGAACAGTAACAAAAATTCTATGTTAAAAGAACACTATATGCACCTCATTGAAGTGGTCTGGGTTTACTGTGCCTGTCCCTGTCAGGTTCCTATCATGACTAGCAAGACTTTTTCCGTTTGATACTGTTGCTTTAAATCCAGTTCCTGTTTCTCGCCTCTAGTGGCCTCCCTAGCCACTAGTCATATCAGACTCTCACCTGTATAACATGAAATCAAGTTCTGCTATAAAAGGCCACACCTGACGAAGCAAGTGACCTTGACATTGAAGTTGATGATTGCCTGAAAAGACTTCATATCCTGGTTCCTGAGTTTACCTGTGGAATTTCCTTATTGGCTTCATAACCTGCTATACTGTACAACTCTTCATTCCTGCCTTTTCTACAAACCCTATTTTCCTGCTAGACATCCAACTTGCTTAAATCAATACTGGAGTTTAATTTACTTTGTGGCTATCTATGTTACTTCTTCTTCTACTATTGGATTTACTGATATTCCAAACTATATTTGCATCTATCAAAAAAAGACCTGCTACTACAATATAACCTCTTATCCAAAGAGGCTGAACAACTACAACCCTAATTAAGTATTCCTTATATTTGTCTAGTTGTTTCTTTATATCCTGTTTTGGGGCATATTTCCTAAACCATGCTTCCTATTACCCCTCTATATTGTACCTGTAATCTCTTATAGGGTTATCTTCAATTATCCTTCTTATAACTTCTTTAATAGGTGTACCTTATTTCTACCTTGGGCTTGTAGTCTAAATCTTTTATTTCATAGGCTACCTACTTCAGACATTCTGTTCTGTTCACTCTTTCTTTCCTATAACTTCAATTATAGGCTATCATGTTCTTACTAGAATATCTAAGAAAACAAATAAAGACCCCGCAATTAACACCAGTTTCAGTCTCATCCCTGACCTGCACAGGATCATGAATGTCCCCTTAACCTTGCATTCTAAAACATTGCAGTTCCAGAAAAAAAATGCAATGTTTATATTGCAAGTTTAAGACTGCCATAAGAGGCGCTTCATGCTGTTTTACATGAAAAGATGCTGGATGTCTTTACGCTGTGCATGAGGATCCAATTTCAAAGCTAGTGTTGCACTCAGGGAACCCAACAGAGTCAGCTACCACACGTGGAGCACCATTGAAGGGATCCGCTGTTCCTTAAAAGTGTTCAAAAAAAATTCCAAAGGATTCACAGAGTAGTGCAAATAGGAAGGAGTTTTATTCAAGCTGAGGAGAAAAATGTTTAAACAATTTATGAGCAAAAAATTTCACTGCATGCCACTTGCAGGAGAAGCATACACAATTGGGGAATCACTAATAAAACCATTTTGTAAACAAAATAGTGTCATGTATTTTAAGTGAGAAGTTGAGTAAAAAAAAATTTCCCCTGGGAATGTGGGATCTGTGACTAAAGTCACCCTCCTTTCCCTTGGGAGTCCCTCTCCTGCCTCCCTCTCGGCATCCAAAACTTTGCCATCCAAGGGAAGACATTAAGCCGGCCCCAGCTATGTTTGTTCTCTTCGCCCGCGGGGTACCATCGTCAGTGATTAGCCAACGTTTTTTACCACGAGGCTAATGCTGTTATGAATGCTGCTCTCACGCATTTTCCCACAGGCGTCCCGCCCACTATTACCACCGTGCCTGCGCTATGCGCTCGCAGCTG